CCCGGGGGGCTCTCCATGAGGAAGCCAGGGCCCCCCTTCCCAGGCACCTGCACACTCCCGCACCTTGCTGAAGGACCCTCTCCTACCAGGGCAGAGGCTGCTCGCTCTCTGGCATCCAGCAGGCACTCAACACGTACTTCTTGGGTGAGTAGACAAATGTGGGACCAGTCTCCCAGCTGTTGAATGAGGGGTGAACAAAATTGGCGGAGCAGGCGCAGCCCACAGCCTGTACTGTGAGGACAGACGGGGTCACCGCGGAGACTACTCGGGGTCCGGGTCTGGGTCCTCGGTGGCCTGCAGCACGTCCACGTGGCTGTACGACTTCCAGGCCTGCAGGTTACAGTTCTTCAGGATGGTTCCCAGCTGCTGCCCAGGGCCCACTTCGAAAGTCTGGGGGAACGCAGTGCCTTTCTTCCTTGTGTATATGGCGTGCATCGTCTGTTCCCACTTCACCGGGGAGACCACCTGCTGGACCAGCAGCTCCTGGATGTGCTTGGGGTGCATGTATCTGTTCCCATTGATGTTTGAGTGGACGGAAACCAGAGGCTTCTTAATGCTGATTGTCTTTAAAACTTGTGCCAGTGGCTCCACGGCTGGCTCCATGAGGCGGGTGTGGAACCCACCACTAACTGGCAACAGCTTGGTGCGTCTGAAGTGATACTTAGAGGAATTCTTCTGGAGAAACTTCAAAGCCTGGAAAAGAAAGGAGGTTTAAGCCAAGCAAATCTTACGGGAAGACATGCAGAGGCAAAAGTCAGCATCAGCAACATCACAGCCCTCTGTATATCATTGATTTTGAGAGGCAGGGTCTTGCTATGTTGCCCAGGCTGGTCTTGAACTCCTGGTCTCAAGCAATCCTCCTGCCTTGGCCTCCCTAGCAGCTGGGAATGTCGGCGTGAGCCACTGCACCCAGCAGCCCTATGTATACAATATGCTTATTCCCACATGTTTGCACACGTCCTATATCCCACAAACCATGAGCCATGTGGTTTGCCATGACCTTAACTCACTTTTTTAGTTCCAGTTAAAATTAGTTGTCCCAAAAGTCCTCCTTTAGGGATATGACCATTCACATACTGCACCTGGGAAAGTGACCATAGCATGGTTGACAGAGACCCAAAGCTGTTAAACATGGAAACATTGCTCTGTCCATCCAGCCCAGTACTGTCACTTACTAGCTTGGTGGCCCAGGCAAACCACTTAACATTTTGGAACCTCTTCTTTCTCATCCTGAAAATAAGTACAATTCCATCTACTTCACAAGGTTGCTGGGAAGAGCAAATCCCAGAAGGTGTGTGAGTGTCTGATAAAGGAAAAAGCACTATTTAATTAGTGTTAGTTTTCGATGGGAATTCTGCTACCCTCTGGTAATTTTTTTTTTTTGAGACCGAGTCTCTGTTGCCTCGGTGAGTCCAATGGCGTCAGCCTAGCTCACTGCAACCTCCAACTTCTGGGCTCAAGTTATCTTCCTGCCTCAGCCTCCCAAGTAGCTGGGACTACAGGCGCTTGCCACCACGCCTGGCTAATTTTTCTATTTTTAGTAGAGACGCGGTCTCGCTGTTGCTCAGGCTGGTCTTGAACTCCTGAGCTCAAGCCATCCTCCTGCCTTGGCCTCCCAAGGTGCCAGCCCTCGCATAATTTTTAACAAGCCTGTTTTCTTTTTTACTCCATAATCTTCAAGATAAAAATTCAGAAGGAAAATCCAAGGCCCATTTCACAACACAGGGTCTGGGGTGTTGTCACCCTCACTTGGGGTTTCTCTAGAGAAAAAAAGAGGCTTCTCTCCCTTAAGCCCAAAGCCTCCTGAAAAGGGCACCTCACCTCAGAAAGGGCCTCGGGGGCTAGCCAACAGGTCTAAACGCTTGCAACTAAACTGTGTGCAACCATAAAATTTGCAAAGATCTTTAAAATAGCAGATATTTTTTTTTTGCACATGAATATTTATTAAAAATTTTTTTTTGTTTTTTTAGAGACAGGGTCTTACTCTGTCACCCAGGCTAGAGTGCAGTGGTGCAATCATAGCTCACTGCAGCCTCTCTGCTCGGGATGCTCCCCGCCTGGCAAACTCACGCTTGTCCTCCAGGTGCCGCCTCTGCAGGCCCACCGGTAGTCACCCTGACCCTGACCATGCCCCTTCACCTGGAGCCATCTTCTCATGGCTGCTCCTCCTTTGACGGCAGGAACCCTGGCTAATCAGCCTGTGTCCCCAGAGCTCGTTACATAGGAGCTGCTTGATAAATGTTCGGAGAAGCAGCAAATGGAAGGAAAGACAGCAGAAAGGAAATTAACTTGGGTGCAAAAACACACACCCAAAAAAGAGCAGCAGGGCACAGGAATCCAACAGAAAACAGCTCTCTTTTCTGTAAGGAAGCAACCACATCAGGGGTTCATGAGAGCCCAGAACGTACTACAGGTAGGCCCTGGAGATCACCTGGTCCTGTCCCTTTACCTTAGATGCGCGCTGGGCAATTTGTTCTGCCAGCATACGCTGGGGATTGGGGCAGTGTCCCGGCCTCCAGTCTCCCTCTGCAGTGCTTGGTCTGCCACATACTCCCCCACCCCAAATACTTCCTAAGACCAGGTGCGGCAGAGCGCCCACCACACTGCTGGTGTAGGGCAATTCCCACCCTCCATACTGGACTGGCGACTATCGAGGAAGTTCCCATCCACACCAACCTCTAGGTGTCCTGAAATCACCCTGCACTCAGGAAAGAGGTAGTTGGACACCTCACACACGGGGTTCTCTATGCCCAAAGACTTGCAGTGCTCCTGGGCTTCCAAACAGGCGAAGGTGAACTTGGCCTCAGGCCGGCCAAGGACAGACAACATTCCACTGGGAACAGCTTCTGAAGCTTCCTGCATGGCCTCAGCTCGGATTTTCACCGCATACAAACCTGTCCAGAGAGAAGAGCATTTGGAAAAATCAGGACTCATAATGAAGGAGGGAGGCCAGACCCGAAAGGAAAAGCACAAACTCCATTCTGTGCCAGAGACACTGGCAGTGGTGCTGGACACCAGCCCACGGGGCCCGTGTTGCACATGTCTCCACGTACTATGCAGAGCTGTTACTGCCATTGGCACTATACAAATTAACCCAACTTTCCTGTCTTAAAGTTGGTTTGGTGTAGGACAGTGGTTCTCAACAGCGGCTGATTCTGTCCTAGAGCAGTGTCTGGAGAAATTTTCTGGTTGTCACAACTAGGGGAGACAGAGTGCTACTGACATCTAGTGGGTAAAGGCCTAGGATGCTCCTCAACATTCCATGATGCACAGGACTGTGCCCCCAAAACAAACGTGAACAGCGCCACTGCTGAGAAGCCCTGGGGAAGGGTAAAGAGGAACAGACTTGGAGCTACATGCCTTGGGCGAGTCACAACCTCCTTCTGGTTCAAATTTTTAGTTCGCAAAATGAGGATAATAAAATTCAATCTGCCTAGGTTGTTGTGAAAACCAGAAATCGTTGTTTATTAAGAGAAATCATGTAGAACAGGAAAAATAATTAAGAACTACGAGATACACGGGCTGCTATACAAACTACAAACAAGTACATGAATTTCAGCAGCACATAATTGGCAAAAATGAAGTGTTACTGTGACACAGCCAAGGCAGATGAACTGAAACGTGGGGCTCCTGATTCAGTGTCGCTCAAGTGCACGGTGAGAGGACACGCAGGTGGCTCCAAAGAGTGACGTAAGAGTGGCCTGTAACTACCAGACACCCAACATCCTAGCCCTGGGTCTGCTCCCTGGGCAGAGAGGGGAGATGACCAGACCAAGGAGAGATTAAGAGAGCCACTCAGGGTTTGAAGGGACAACACAGAGGGTGTGAGGAGAAAGTCCTGCACCCTTTCTCATTAACACATCTTCACGCACTCGGCACTTACATATTTTATATTTGTGCCAGACTTTCAGCCCCCTTACCAAGAATTGTGGAACAAATACATTAAGAGCCTGTGACAGGAAGTAGGAGAAAACACACAAGGAAAGTGGAGAGAACATGTGGAAATCCTTCCCTGCAGGCATTAAAGCAGTAACTATGCAGAATGTCAAGGGAAAAACTGAACACAAAATTGCAAATATGCTGTAATTCTGTAAGTTATGTACACATGAAATGATAAAATGATACGTGTAATACAACAGTGTCATTAGCATGTGAAATTATGCAATTTTCTTTTATGTAACATTTCATTAATAGTGCTATAATGCTTCTTTTAAAAAAAATGAGGTGAAATTCACATAAAATATAATTAACCATTTTAAAGTGTATAATTCGGTGGCATTAATATTTTATGTACTCATAATGTTGTGCAACCACCAGCTTGCTCTCTCTGGTTTCAGAATCTTTTCATCACCCCATAAAAACACCCACATCAAGTAATCGCTCCCCATTTCTTCCTCCCTCCACCCCTAGTAACCTCTAATCTGTTGTCTCTATAGATTGGACTCACGTATTCTGGACATTTCATATGAAAGGAATCATACAATATGTGACTTCTGTCTGGCTTCTTTCACCTAGGACAACATTTTCAAGGTTCATCCCTGTTGTAGCATGTATCAGTATTTTATTCCTTTTTATCATTTAAAAATATTCCATTGTATGGCTATACCACAATCTGTAATCTATTCATCAGATGATGAACATTTTGGGCTGTTCTACCTTCTGGCTATTGTGAATAATACTGCTATAAACAATTTCTGTACAAGTTTCTCTGTGTGGACATTTTAATTTCTTAAGTATATGCATATGAGTAGAATTTCTGGGTCAAATGGTAATTATATTCAACTTTTTGAGGAATTGGCCAAACTGTTTTCCACAGTGACTCCACCATTTTGCATTCCCACCAGCAACGTATGAGGGTTTCTATTTTTCTACATACTTACTATTTTTCTTTATTTTTTTAAAAATAAAAGCCATCTTAGTGGGTGTGAAGTGTTATTTCATTGTGATATTGACTGCATTTCCCTAATTATTAGTGATGTTAACCATCTTGTTATGTGCTTGCTGGCCATTTGAATATCTTCTTTGGAGAAATGTCTATTCAACTCCCTTGCCTGTATTTAACTATGAGCAAAAAATTTAACTGTTTTAACTATAAGTAAAAATCTTAAGAAGTAAAAGTGATATGGCTCAAGATCAAATATTCATTTTCTCTTTTTCATTATTCAGTGAGCGTCTACTAAGCATCCACCTTGCTTGGTGGCACTGGGGGGGATGATAACACAGGGTAGTGGGGAAGACAGTCAAACAAGCAGAGTTCATGAGATTATAAAGAGAATGGAGGCGCCGTGGCTCACCCCTGTAATCCTAGCACTTTGGGAGGCCAAAGCGGAAGGATCTCTGAGACCAGCCTGGGCAACATAATAGAGATCCTGTCTCTACAAAAATTAAAAAATTAGCTGGGCATGGTGGTGTATGTCTCTAGTTCCTCCCAGCTTCCGG